ATATCCCCTACTGTTTGCTGTGGAATACAGTCCGAATAGTATGCTAGTTCTTCTTCACTGAAATTAGATCTATGATAGTTGGTTTCCAAATGTTTTGGTCTACTCAGAAAAATAAATTGGGGCTGGGCGAGTTCCTTTTTTTAAAAATTGTTTGTTCCTTGTTCTACGCATTTGTTCTTTTTTGGAATGAAGGCATTGTTATTGATAACTCATTTGTTTTCCCTGATAGAACAATTTTATCCCAGGAACAACGCCCAGCCATTGATAATTTTGTTGTTAATCAAATTTCATGAACGATCATGATAAAGTCCATTTTTTCATTTGTTAATTTTATGAACAATTAATTTTGTTCATCATTTACTAATTTCTCTGATACACACCTAGTTTACAATTTGTATTTAAGTACCTATTAATTTCAACTACTGCAGTTACAGAGTAACATCAATGCATATGTACCTTAGTTTCTTATCCCATACATGAACATCTGCTATCTTTCCAATCAGAGGTTTATTATCAAAATAGTAGTGCCCTTAAAAATTGTCAATATTACTAATTCACTCAAACATACATTGCTCATTCAATTTTACTCTTGAAAGTGTTAAATTGTGATTGTTAACCAAGCATAGTTCACAGATAAATAGACATAGTGCAGTTAATGTCCCACAGGGAGATATGTTTCTAGCCTGTTAAGGCTGGCCGGTTATCTCTCCGGCTTCAAAGGGTATTGAACCCTTATCAAGTTTAGCTTTAGGCAAGGACCAGAGAAGGAAACGGATCATACGGCCAGGGGGGAAAGGAACAGGATCGGCCATATTGGATTCCCCACAGCCAATATTCATCAAGCATCGTACAGAAGCAAATCCATGGAATATACATTAGCCACTGGAGGCAAATGTTGTGTTGAATAAGATCTAATTGATCATTCGATCAACAGTTTGTATAGTTTAACCTGTAAAAATAGTATTGTGTGCGGACATGTTTTGTTATTCCACTCAATCTTGGCCATTTACTTGCATTCCTTTTTCAAGTCTAAACTATGTTTACCTAGATAAACAACCATGGGGAGCTGAGTGTTGTTTGAAAGTCTTGATAGGAAAGATCTAAAATTTAATAGTATTAAATGCTAAATACTAAAAACCTATTTAAAAAGTGACTGTAGGCGTAATTTCAACTGACTGTCCATTTTTAAGTGAATTGTCCAATTCACAACAGTACCCTGACACAACTTTGCATGACTGATCAACATATCCTTGTAAATCTACTAATTTGCTTTTAATTCTTGAATACTTTGTTTTCTATCTGTTATATATCTAGTTTACTATAGAATTGTTGTTACATTTTTTGTCTTAAAATAATTTTAAAAAACCAACACTAAAAATCATCCCTCCAAAGTGAGCAATCTATGAGGATTTTAAAAATTACATTTGCACTCTTGTTGAATAAATATGCATTGAAAAATGCATTCTCTAGAATACTGCATTCTCAGCTCAACTACCATGTCTAACCAGACACTCCCTTTCAAGGGCACCGTTGTAAATATTGTTAATCGGGAATTGCCCTCTTTGCATGGAAAGTCATCTTAAATTACCCAATTACAGTCCTTTTAATGTCTTTAGATAAAGAAAAATAATATAATTAAATACCTGTTTCTTCGTATTTCACTAAAATCTGATTTTCCATTGAGGAATATGATTATAGTATTTTTATCAGACTTATCTAAGAAATCAATTAAATTTAAGTAATGTAAGGCCATACACTTGATACTTGGTACTACAAATCTACATGTTTTATAAAGTTTCGGTGTAAATGGGAATGTACACATTTCCAAACAAAAGCCAAACCTTCAAGATATTAATTTTTTCACGCATTTTCATTTAATTAAATGTTTTCCAGATTACAATACTATTTGGGTCTGTGTTTTGGTGAGTAATTTCTTTACTCATATAAATGATGCAATTGTTGTTATTTTTCTTTCTTTTGTTTCCCAATTTTTAATGACCTTCAATTGCGCCAAAATGATTTTCCTAATTTTTTAAAATTATTTTTTAAAGAAAAAACGTGTTGCATGTCTAAAATTAATAAAGTAAGTAAAAATTACATTGATGAATTCATCAACAAAAATAATTGAAAAAAATGCGGAATGTTTTTGGCGCAATTTTATTTTTAAGTTCAGAAAGTTAATTACATTTGTGATGTGGATCCAAAGACTGGACAGGCAAACTTTGATAATGAAGGTAGGGAACCAAATACAATTTTCAAGGGGAAATGGCGGGAAACAAAAATATGAAAAAGAAGGAAAAAGTGTATTAAAAAATCAGTTGAGAAATTACCCATCAAAACACAGACATCTATTTCAAGAAAATAGCTAAGATTGAAGGCGTGATTCCCTATTGCAAATTTTTGGCTTTTGATGGAAAATTGTAGACTTTCTCTCTCAGTAAAATAGACAAATATCATATGATGACTTAAACTTACACATCAGCACAATAAAGGGAGGAATTGTTTCTCCAAGCCTGTAGAATTCTATCAGAGGTATCTGCTGATTAAATCGATTAAACTCAACATAGGTCCATAAACAGAAACTCAACTAAAAGCAGACACAAAAAATAGTTTTGATTCTCCGCCAACTAGGGCTGTTCGTTATCGGTTAAAATCATTCAAGAAAAACAACTTTTCAGCTTGCCATGCTTGTTCTTTAGAAATCTCAATTTAATTAACGGAGTTAACCTTAGATATTTTAGAAATTGTTAAGGGTGCCATTAACAAACCGTTAATTAATATTTCAAATAAAAATAGCTGGGCAAATCTGAAGATAAAATTAAAAAACATTAAAACATCTAAAAAACGTCAAAATACATGAAAAATTGTTCATATTTTCTGGAAGTTGCATGCAAGTTTAAAGGGTCTTATTAGGTAAAATGAAAGGGGGTATATTCTAAAGCTTCAAAATTCTAGACGTTGCATTGATTGAGACCAATGATATTTCTGATGTCTCTGGCTCGAGAAATTAAATAAAACCATGTCCCAGTAATACAAAAACTCTTGCACCATTGATCTGGTCGATAAAGCCACATGACCAGATATGCTCAGGTCACATGATACAGACGAAACAAAATTAAATTCTATTTTATCTATTAAAAATTTATAAGTACTATACTTAAATTATAATAGAAGCGTGCCTAACATTTCTAGGCATCTCTGGGCTATCGTAATTTTCAGATTCATTCAGTATTTGATTCAAAATACCATATCATAGCATGTTATAGAGTTTTTGTAGAATTTGGACACGGTTTTATATCAAATCTCAAGACCGAGACAGCAGAGAGCAAGAAATATATAGACCAGGAACGCCCAGCTCAGATATTTGCATATTGTGTACTGTACACTCTGGGAGGAATGAAAACAAAACAAACCAAGTGCTCCCATAGCAGTTAAAGGGAAAGGATTAAACTGTGATAAACAGAGTGATTTTACAGTCTAAAGCAACTTCCCCCACCCCTCATAATTGATGTTTCGCCCCTAAATTCTTTGTTTTGATCTCCTCCCACTGCAGTACACAAATTTAACGCTTCAGATATGGCGGTTCCTGGTCTATATATTTGTTGGCAGAAAGCAACTATTATTGGTCGCGATCTACTCCTCAAATTTTGAGGCTTTAGCCTACACCCTCTTTCCTTTTACCTTAACAGTCCCTTTCAGTAGTAATAATTAACGAAAGTCTTTTCTTAGAAACACATCCGTTTTTTCTTTTTTATAAACTGTTAATTATTTTTTCAAGAAAGTCTATTTCCCTTGGTTATCCCTATCCTGATTGGTCTATTTTTGTCAAATATAGATGGGATGGGTGGGTTCCACCCCTCCTTATGATTTTGCCCTTAGATCTAGTTGAGATAGGGGAGTGGAATGATGCCTTACTTTTCTTGGTGAGCTCAGTAAAAAATAGTAAACCTCTAACTTTAATGATTATAGGCAGTTGTGACATATCTTATTGCTTCCATTTTTCAAAGGCTTTTCAAATAAATAAGTTTCAGATCTGTAGCTTTTAAAAAAAATAAGCTTTAGATCTGTAGCTTTTTAAATAAATTAGCTTTAGATCTGTAGCTTTTTAAATAAATAAGCTTTAGATCAGTAGCTTTTTAAATAAAAAACCTTTATATCTGTAGCTTTTTCAATAAATAACCTTTATATCTGTAGCTTTTTCAATAAATAACCTTTATATCTGTAGCTTTTTCAATAAATAACCTTTATATCTGTAGCTTTATTTTTTGATAATGATATTCTACCCTACTCCACGGCCACCCTTCCTTATGCATTAACAAATTGTAAAACTTGTTTACTACTTGAGTTATAAAAGCGAAGAGGTGTAAACATTCTAGTGTAAGCCGTTTAAATTTATAAAAAAACACAGGATGGAAAGGGGGGGAAACACCCCACCCAAATCCTGATAGGGTTAACAATTTCAAAAATAACGGTTTTTGCTGTTCGTTAAAGTTGTATCTTCTTTAAAAGAATAAAAATATATTAAAGGGCTATCGATGTAAATAATTCTTAGTGCAACCCTGGACATATTAATCTGATTAATGTAATTCATACTTGATTGATTAAAGTTTTTAATCATACATACTATACTCTATCAATGATGTTCTTACAATAACAGGATTTTTAATTTTTAACCTGGTCTGGTACCGGTATATCAAGAGTTTTGGTAGCATACCCATTCTCTGGTCCAAATATATCTTCAAGCTGAGAAAACATTAAACAATTTAGACTATAGAGCAGATTAATTAGAAAATTATTAGGAAGATAAACTTCTATGACAAGAATATTTATGATTTTCTTTACAGAAAGGGTCTGAAAGCGTAATTTCAAGTGACCCTCCTTGCAAAGCTGGCTATGCCCGATTTCATCTGTACCCAGTGAGACCATCTGATCAAAATATGTTTAATTCTGTGAGTTTCACCATTGCTTCTTAGAAACAAGGAATTCGCAAGTTAACCTTTTGCATATGAAACCGTGTAGTAAATGCCCACTCCATAACAAGTTCTCGAAGCATATCTATTCAGGTACAACCCGTCCGCTAGCAAAAGGACAAGACCACACGGCTCAAATTCTGTGAACTATCAACGCCACTACAACGCGATCGCATTAGCTGTTAGTGTCAATTCAAACACTAGCTTTTAATCGAGCTCTAAATGCCGCACAGGGACAAAAGCGTAATTATCAAGCTACTAAGCGAGGCTCTAAATTTCATACAGGGACAAAAGCAGTTATCAAACAAGCTAATAATCGAGCTCTAAATTTCACACAGGGACACAAGCCTAGCTAGCAAACAAGCTATTAATCTATGCTCTAAATGCCACGCAGGGACACAAGCCTAGCTATTAAACAAGCTATTAACTATCAATCCCATCCAATCAAAGGGGACAATCTTCAACCTGTTTGTTAGAACAGGGAATGATTACTCTCTCGCAGTTAACAGTACAGAGTTACTATATTACCTAACTTTATTTACATATCTTATGTTACAAGATAACATTAATTGACGTAATTACAATTCCTGTGTTGTTATCTATATTAATCGATTGAGAGAATCATGTTACGTACTTACCACACAGTTTAACATATATATTTATAAAATCAACAAGAATAGATATAACGTAGTTATACATACCTATGTTTACAACGCAGTTTAAGTTGAAAAGGCATATTTAAAAGATTAACATGGATGGATTAAACTGTAGTTAATCGAATCACAATGGAGGTTTTAATCATATTACGTAGCCCCTGTTTAATATATCTAGGTATGCTCAGGTTAACAAATATGGGGATTGATACAATTAATTTTACTTTTAAATTTGGTTAATGATTAAATGCTGAAAGTCGTCTTGCAACTGTCCTGTTTCCTGGGACACCCTGTACTCTACCTCGTTATCCTTGAAGTGGAATCCTCGCACGGTGTTCATTGCTACAAGGAGCACAGGGAGAAATAATAATGTTGGCATAATTAGTAAAATTCTCATCATTTCCTGGAAAAAGGCATATCACATAGCTGATAAGAAGGTATTCCAATAATTAACAATTTTTGCGGATTTTTCTGTTTAAATCAGTGGATTTTCAAAAATCGTAATTGTCTACATTTTTTTAAAGCAATTTTTTCAATTTCCAGCAGCTCTCCTGGGGGACAGAAGTACACTAGGTACACTGAGATATAGACAACTCTTAAACTTAGTCATCAATTCTCTAGACAACCTCGGCATTAAAGGTTCGCCACGCCTTTGCCTTTGGTTTTGCCTTACAAACTCTTTTATCCTATTTGTAGCCCTAGACATATACATTTAAAAAGTTCAATGCGCTTGTTTATAGCCGAAGTATAAAAGGAATAATTGGCTATATCCTGCTGGATATTTATGTGAGAGCATGGACGTCTTGGTTTGCAGTGGGTATGTAAATATACTTAATACTGATTATGGTTATTTTCTTCTTCTTGATTATATAGTGAAAAATTAATTTATTATATTCATAAGAATTACAGAGGATATTAGTTCCAAAACCAAACACTTGGCCCATTTCTAACACTGAGAGTTAGATATGGGCCAAATCTGCAAAGTTTTCTTTTTCAAGAGTATGTATCTTTAAATCCAAGACGAGTAGAACAAAATTGCACCAATTATCTTTCCCATCGCATTACACAGGTGCTTTCTTTGTTTAATTATCCTTACCATGCACTACGCAAGTGCTTTCTTAGTATAATTATCCTCCCCGTGCACTACACAGGTGCTTTCTTAGTTTAACTATCTTTCCCGTGCACTACACAGGTGCTTTCTTATCTTAATTACATTTCCCATGCACTACACAGGCTTTCTTAGTTTAATTATCTTTCCCGTGCACTACACAGGTGCTTTCTTAGCTTAATTACATTTCCCATGCACTACACAGGTGCTTTCTTAGTATAATTATCTTTCCCGTGCACTACACAGGTGCTTTCTTAGCTTAATTATATTTCCCGTGCACTACACAGGTGCTTTCATATCTTAATTACATTTCCCATGCACTACACAGGTGCTTTCTTATCTTAATTACATTTCCCATGCACTACACAGGTGCTTTCTTAGTATAATTATCTTTCCCATGCACTACACAAGTGCTTTCTTAGCTTAATTATATTTCCCATGCACTAAACATGTGCTTTCTTAGCTTAATTATATTTTCCATGCACTACACAGGTGTTTTCTTAGTATAATTATCTTTCCCATGCACTACACAGGTGCTTTCTTAGTATTATTATCTTTCCCATGCACTACACAGGTGCTTTCTTAGTATAATTATATTTCCCATGCAATACACAGGTGCTTTCTTAGTTTAATTATCTTTACCATGCACTACACATGTGCTTTCTTAGCTTAATTACATTTCCCATGCACTACACATAATTATCTTTCCCATGCACTACACAGGTGCTTTCTTAGTTTAATTATCTTTCCCATGCACTACACAGGTGCTTTCTTAGTTTAAATATCTTTCTAATGCACTACACAGGTGCTTTCTTGGTTTAATTATCTTTCTAATGCACTACACAGGTTCTTTCTCAGTATAATTATCTTTCCCGTGCACTACACAGGTGCTTTCTTAGTTTAATTATCTTTCCCATGCACTACACAGGTGCTTTCTTAGTTTAATTATCTTTCTAATGCACTACACAGGTGCTTTCTTGGTTTAATTATCTTTCTAATGCACTACACAGGTGCTTTCTTGGTTTAATTATCTTTCCCTTGCACTACACAGGTGCTTTCTTGGTTTAATCATCTTTCCCGTGCACTACACAGGTGCTTTCTTTGTTTAATTATCTTTCCCTCGCACTACACAGGTGCTTTCTCAGTATAATTATCTTTCCCGTACACTACACAGGTGCTTCTTGTTCAATTATCTTTCCCATGCACTACACAGGTGCTTTCTTGGTTTAATTATCTTTCCCGTGCACTACACAGGTGCTTTCTTGGTTTAATTATCTTTCTAATGCACTACACAGGTGCTTTCTCAGTATAATTATCTTTCTAATGCACTACACAGGTGTTTTCTTAGCTTAATTATCTTTCCCGTGCACTACACAGGTGCTTTCTTAGTTTAATTATTTTTGGACATTTTTATTTTTATTTTCATAGAGATATGTGGCTCATAGATTAATAACAATACAGATTGAACATAAGATATCGCCTTTTCAAGATTTAGCTTTTTTTCTGTCACAATAACTCAGAGGCAGATGCCCAAAGGAGTTACGCGCATGCTGTCTCTTTGTCTTGTAATTCAGCGTGGCATGCGCGTAACTCTTTTGGGCTTCTGCCTCAGGGATTTGTGAAAGAAAAACCCCTTCTTGAAAAGAATACATTCAGTGTTCTCTCTGTAGTAATGTTAATCTATACAACGGCTAATATTTAAATCTTAAGAAAATCCCAAAACGTTTTATGAATAAATTATTTGTAAAGACTGATGTTTACCCTTACTAGCTGTTTTGTGTACTAAATTAACCGAAACTCCAATATGTCCAAAAAGTCAGAACTATGGATAAATTTTACTTTAAACTTGAAGTCTGTGAAAGTCTGTTCTAATTAAGTGACAGTAATATATTTTGTGGTTAATTTGGGTCAAATAAAAATGAAAAATTTAATGCTTTTCTTTAACTTCTCTGGACACCCTTTCATTCTATATTTATTCAATGATATTTATTGTGACGAGTATTCAATATTGATTACAATTGTATTTTATTTATATTACTATCTAGTTTCTCATCATTAATTTGGTTTTAATGGATTATTGGCGATTAAAATACAATGAACATATGATATTGGAAAATGTATTGAAAGCGTTAAATAGAATAATTTATTGAATTGAATAATACGCAATTTAACACAAAGGATGAGACTTCAGAGGCGATTGTACGAAATTTATTCTTTTTTGTTTCTTGATACCGTTTATTTTCATTTATGGGGTTCTCTGCAAAAGTAAATTGCGCATTTCTTGCTTGAAAGAACCAATGGTGAAATTATCAGAATATAAAATTTTTGAGTTTTAAAAGACGGTATCTAAAAACATTTTCTCATCAGATAAAGCTTTTAAAGGTACCGTTGTAAATCGGACATTGCCATCTTTGCATGGAGGTTAACTTGACATTACGCGTACAGTACCTTAAAGATAACAAATGTAAATTGAGCTTATTACATTTAGTAGCTCGGATATTGCAGTTATAATATCAGACAAATCTTATTAATTTAAGTTATGCCGTAAAAATGGAATGTTCATCAAAGTAAATAGGGGTTGAATAATTATTAATGAATGAATTATAACTTGATTTTTACTTTTTCAAAACAATCCGATTTTTTATTTGTAAATTTCTACGATAACAAATGTTGTTCATTGATTTCATTGATGCTTATTCAAATTCTCGGAAGATATGTAGAAAAGATTGAAATGAAAAATTACGGATGGGTTCCAGGGGCGTAAATAAGGATTCGGTTGGGGGGTGATTAAAATACAATGAACATATGATATTGGAAAATGTATTGGAAGCGTTAAATAGAATAATTTATTGAATTGAATAATACGTCGTTTAACACAAAGGATGAGACTTCAGAGGGGATTGTACGAAATTTAGTTTTTTTCCTACAAACGTTAGTCTTGAAAGCTTTTGTTTAGTCAAGTATGAATTAGATATTTATATTTTTGTTTCTTGATACCGTTTATTTTCATTTATGGGGTTCTCTGCAAAAGTTACTTGCGCATTTCTTGCTTGTAAGAACCAATAGTGAAATTATCAGAAGTAAAACTTTTGAGTTAAAAAAGACGGTATCTAAAAACATATTTTCATTAGATAAAGATTTTAAATGTACCGTTGTAAATCGGACATTGCCATCTTTGCATGCAGGTTAACTTGACATGACGCTTTCAGTACCTTAAAGATAACAAATGTAAATTGAGCTTATTACATTTAGTAGCTCGGATATTACAGTAATAATATCAGACAAATCTTATTAATTTGTTTTGCCTTAAAAATGGAATGTTCATCAAACTAAAATATCATGATGTATATCAAATTATTTGTTTTAGTTGGGTTTGATTTGCATTTTCCACTCATTTCTGGCATTTACAAACTCCATTAAACAACGTGCTATTCATTTCCTACCTTTCAGCTTTCAACTTGTTTTATATCCTTTATCATAGTCATTTATGTTACATTAACTACAAAGATCTGCAAAAAAAACCTGAATTCATTTTAGGTAACTTAAAAAATAGTTTTACTCTAAGAGTGAAAAGATGTAATTTTTTTTAAATCTTACGAAAAGCTACTTTTCAAAACTTTGAAAAAATATTGTCTTTGTTTATAATCTAATTTCTAATTTCTAAAATTTTCTTGTCTTCAATTGTACTATAGGTATATATGTTAATTTCACTATATTAAAAGAGAAATGCCTTACATTTTAAAATTTAATTCTTAATAATTTTGATCTTATACTTAATTTGACATATAGTGCAAGTACGGTACTGCATTAAAAAATTGGATTCTTGGGTAAAATCTATGTATGTTACGTTGCTAAAGTTGATTGAGTAAAATTATATGCGCGAAGCGGCAACATTTTTTACATTTTTCCTTTTAATGGTAATCATGGACATG